TCATCATGGAGCCAGGCATGTTGCCATAAACCTATGCAGGCTCCATCAGAGGCTCGGTTTTCTCCTTGGGAAGCATCCCGTTCAGCCCCTCCAAAGAGCCAGCCAAGAGGAACAACAGCATCTACGAGACCCTGCTGGAGCCAGTGAGGGAGATGAGCACTCCCAGGCTGCTGTTTGTGCCAAGTTGAGAGAGCAGCTTCTGCAGAAATTCTGGAAAAGAGCTTTGGAGAGGACTTCCAGGAAAGCTCCTCCCACCTACCCACAGAGATTTTCCCATATGATCACCCCACCACCAACACCGTTTCACCGGAGAGCTGTATGGGCGCCGTGGCAAGCACTCCCGAAGCCACCTTGGGACATCACATAGGTCCAGTGATCTGACCAGGATGAGGGACTTCACGACAGCCAAAAGCCACCACATATGAATTCTCAAGACAGCCACGCGCAGTAAAAGGAAATCACACCGGGCCACTTCAATCAACAATAGCTTAAAATTACATCCCTGTCATGTCAAGCTAAGGAAAACATAGACAGCATTAAATCAAGAACTTGCAAGTTATTTATATAGCAAATTGCTCTATTATTAAAAGCTAATCTCATCGGAGCAGCTTGCTGCCCTCACAGCCAATGGCATAGAACGAGTATTCAATTTACAGTGCAGACTACAGAATTAAGAGTGAGGAGGAAGAGGCCACTAGATACGTGGAAGACTTCTTTCTTCAGACTCTTCTTTGCTCCTGTGCAGGAGCTCTGTCAGCATTTCTTTCCTTCTTTTTAAACACTGTCGTCAGACCAAGACACAAACAGCACAGCAGCATCGCAGTGCTTTGCCGTGCTGGCAGAGCAAGTGCCTGCTTACAGCTGAAATGCCAAAATGAGGAGCATCTGCAATATCCACCACTTGCAAGCGCTCTGCAGAGACCGTTATTTATCAGTCCTTTTGTCAATAATACACATTGTGTGAATACATTTACATGGGAATTGGGATCCTGCCTATTTGCATATAATCAAAGTATTTTGCTTCTTTCTGCAGAGCCTGTGGTGCTGTGAGACTCACAGGAAGGAGCCTGAAGGGATCAGGGTGATACGTCCCTCCCATAGAGAGTGACCAAAAACCACACAAAGAGCATTAGACTCGAGGTGGGTCAGAAAGCTCCCTCTTGCCTTCCTCCTTTCTGAAGAAAAAAACCCACAGAATTAGTGAAGCGGAGTGACGGGAGCCAAAACACGGCAGGAGCTGCAGGGAACTGACTGCGGTCAACTTCCTGTAAGGGGGGGTGGTAATAAAATAACAGGCACTGGGGAAGAGAGAAGAGGGGGAAAAAGCAGAGAAATCCTTGAAAAGGGTTCATTGATCCTTGCAGGCATGGGTGGATTACAGCCACACGTAATACTCTAGGTTGTGAACTTCCAACCGAGTGGCAAATTCAATAGGTTTTTTTAAATTACATTTTAAAAAGGATCTGGAGAAGAGCACGAGGAAGTACCAGTACGTAAAGGGACTTTAACCAGCATTGTCTTCTCCACCCAAATCTGCCAAGGCCACTGCCGCTCTGTGAGGGGAATGTCCCTTGCAGCCCAGTTGTTTTACCTCTCAATCACACTCCTTCCTCACATCCCCCATTAGGACGTCAGTGTCATGGAAGAACAAAGATTAAGTGGAGATTAAGAACATTTAAGTGAAGATTAAAGATTAAGAGCAAAGGTAAGTGAAAAGTCCTCAGTAGAAAACACCCGTACATGGCAAGGAGCTGCTGTAATAGGTCCCAGAGCAGCACTTTCATTCTGTCTGGCAGCAGGAGTTACGGATAATCCCAAAATTGATCCCGAGCAGACCATGGGTGCTCATGGCTACACTGCTCAGGTCTCTGGAGCAGACTGGGCTGCTCTCGCTCCTTCAAAATCATCTCTTGCTGGTAACCCTTCGGCTGTTCCCCAGCTGGGCAAAGTACCAAAGTCCATCCACGGGTCCCACTGCTGCGGGAAGGTGGACTTGGTGTTGCTCAGACTGCTGCTCTTTGCGTTAGCCATATCTGTGCTAATCAAGTTTGACTTTTCAATGCTAATATTTCTGCGGTTTGTTGCAACAGATAATAGGCAAAGGAAAAAAATAAATTAAAAAAAAACCCACAAAAGTGGAAGTTCCTTAGATTCCTGATTTCAAGTGCATTTGAATATTTTTTAATAAATCCACCAACACAGTTTCTTTTCAGGATTGATGGAATGGAAGTCACCCGATACATTTGATATGTTTTTAATCAGTATTTTTCTGTTCCCTATCAGCTGTTGTACCAAATTAGCAAACTACATGCTAATGGAATTTGTATGCGCCGGGCACAGCAGAAATGCAATAGCTCTTGTAAAACATGTGGGAAATGGAAGGTTTTTACCCTGTGCTGCTTAAGCATGCTGAGCAAGAAGGATGAAAACCGCCTATGATCGGCCTCGAATGACTAACAGATATCACGTGTAATTCATGTAAAGGAAAAATCCACTCCCATGAGTAATGCAAGATGAGGACAGACGATTATTTTGACAAACAGATACTTGTGATGTAAAAGGCAAATAGCGATGCTTACTCAGGGGTTGCTGATTCTTTGGCATTGGCTGAACTGGATTGCCGCCTAGGAAAAAATTTGCACTTCTGAAAGTTATGAAAAGATGGTTTGTTTCTTTTCTGAGCAACGCACTCTGATTCCAACGTGTCTGCAGCTGCAGAGCCAACCTGTCAGCTCCGCCTCCGCCTCTTCTTGTTTCCACACCGCCCTGCTTACTGGAGCACACAGAAACCCCGTTAGGGAGCAAGGCAGCTCAAAAATAATTAGCGAACAGGAGTTAGACGGCTCTGCTGCCAAGAGTGACCGTCCAGTGTCTCAGGCAGCTTTTCAGGGTGAGCTTACCACTACCACCTCGCTGCACCCCTGCTTCCTGGCTGTGTGCTACCCAGAACCGTGCCAGACCAAGCAGTCGTACAGCTCTTTGCTGGAAGGGGATCGGAGAACCGATCCTGCTAAAAATAACCTTTTTCCCTGAGCGCTGGCTCACCTTGCTGCTGAAAGAGTGGATGGAAGCAGGCACAGAGAGGGTGGTCACTGGTAGAACTTGAGTCATGTCAAAGCGTGCCCTGAAACCACAGTGCATGAGCTGAGCTGTTTGTAGATTTTGAGGGATCTCACCTGAGGAGTGACTTGCTGTCCTGGTTTCAGCTGGGATAGAGTTAATTTTCTTCATAGAAGCTAGCATAGTGCTGTGTTTTGGATTTAGTACCAGAAGAATGTTGATAACACACTGATGTTTTCAGCTGTTGCCAAGTAGTGCTCAGACTACTCAAGGACTTTTTGAGCTTCTCCTGCTCGGCCAGGTGCATAACAAGCTGGGAGGGAGCACAGCTAGCACAGCTAACCCAAACTGACCAAAGAGCTATTCCATACCATATAACGTCATGCTCGGGGGGGGGTTAGTTAGTTCGGTCGGTCGCTCGCGGCTCGGGGACTGCTTGCGGCTCGGGGACTGCTTGCGGCTCGGGACGGGCTGGGCATCGGTCGGCGGGTGGTGAGCAATTGCATTGTGCATCATTCGTTTTGTATATTCTGTATATTCTGTTATCATTCTCATTATTACTATTATTATTATTTTCTCTTATTAAACTGTCTTTATCGCAGCCCTCGGCTCTAACCTTTTATTTTCTTTCCGATTCTCTCCCCCATCCCACTGAGGGAGGGGGGAGTGAGCGAGCGGCTGCGTGGTGCTGAGTTGCCAGCCAGGTTAAACCACGACAATGTGCTGCACCTGAAGATGACGTAGTATGTGTCAAACTGCTTCTTTAACTGCACAAGTGGGGTTTTTTTTATAAAATCTGACAGGAATACGGCTGTGGAGAAGATGGTCAGGAGTCCCACAAATGCATATCCACATCATAGAAATGCGAGCAGGCCCACGCATACCAGAAAATGTCTCTTAAATCCATTTGCACTCCCCACGCGAAGGGTAAGGAAGGGCTGTGTCTCAAGGTGCCTCTGGGAGCAGGGAGACAATCCCCTTGGGATCATTTCACACATCCATGTCACTGTCACAAAGGGGCCGAGAACAGTGGGCTCAGATGTTTGCCAAAAGGTAGGTTTGCTTAGGTAGCTCTGAGTTGACCAAGTTTAAATGTGAATAGAAAGGATCAGAGAGCTCACATCCCTTTTTCTTTGTGCCCTGTTCTCCTGCTCAGAGCATTTTTGGGAGCGTGGGGGTGCCTGCTGCCACTGGGACAGGGGAGCTGCCCTTGCCCCTAGCAAACTCCAGCTGATTTATCCCTGCTGGTGCCTCCTCCGTCCCGCTGGGGAAGGGGAAGAGTTTGAGGAGGGGTGGGCAGACACTCCCTGCCTGGTTCTGCAGCGGGTGTTGTGGGACTAGATTTGGCTTTTACAGTCACAGGACCCTCTCTGAGCTTTGTAAATACAGACTGAGGGCTGGAAAACAAATAGCTGCTAAACTTTCTGCAACAAAAGTGAACCAAAGGAGAATTCCTGTAGAGTTCAGGCGCTTTCAGTCAAAACTCTCTGCCACATGTTTTGGACAAGTGTTAGGGTTTCTAAAGACAACACAGAACTTCAATGTTGTGCTCCTGAATATCAGCCAGATTTGACAGCTCGTGTCAGACATCCCTGCCCCTTCAGTACAGGGTGCTCCTTCCTCCCCTTCTGTTACCAGCAGCATATGGGGAAAACTGATTTTTCTGAGCTTGAGTTCTCAGCGGTTCAATAAATACAGCGGTGCTTTCTGCGACTGCACCCTCCTGCCCTTGCTTGTTGACTTCATACAGCACAGCATGTCACTAACCGTGCTGTCACACCAGCAAAGCACTGAGATGGAAAAGATGGAGAAGTGACATTAAAAAAAGCTGCGGTGTCTTTAAATCAGTGAAAGCTGTGAAAATACCGTTCACCTTCCTCTTTGGTTGATAAATTCATTGTTGTGTTCTGGGGCCAGGAGGGAGAAGGAAGGCAGCCAAGCAGCTGTCAGCTTGTCTCTTCTCATGAGCGTCAAAGCTAACAGAAAGGGAGCTGGAGTCCCCACTGGGCGTTTCAGGAGTTTTCACTGGAAACCTGCAGTGCCAGGGCCGCTCGCCACACTGAAGAACTCGACGACGTTTAAA